GTTGAACGGTTGGTCTGCTCAAGAAACTAAAGGGGACAAAATTTGCTCAGAAAACAACAGGGGTCTCATTTGCTCAGAAAACCAAAAGGGGTCTCATTTGCTCAGAAAACCAAAGGGGTCTCATTTGCTCAGAAAACCAAAGGGGTCTCATTTTGCTTAGAAAACAAAAACAACCTGAAGGAGAGATGTTCGGAATATGCGGGCCCGGCGTTGAGAACTGTGAGGGCCCTCTAAAAACTCCCGGTGGGTTGGGGGGGGGGGCCTGGTTCTTCTTGCGGCCCGGTTTTCCCATTGAACTTGGGCTGGGATTTTCCCGGCAATGGAACGCACCCCGTTGAAGAGCTTAGTCCCTTTCCTGAACGGGCCTCGCAGCTTTGTTGCCGTGCTACAGTGGATGGACGAAATCCTGCACCACTCCATGGGTGATTACAGGGGAATCATCATTCGGTGCAGGATTCCGTTCATCCACAGTAGGATGCCATCCAAATTCCCGCCAGGATGGGCCTTAGATTTAGAACTGAGCGGGCACGAACAATCCCGAGCCTCCAGTGGAGCGGGTAAAACAGTTCCGCATCGACTTGCAAAACCAAGCAGCTTCTGCTTGTCTCATGAACCTTCGCCGGAGGACTGGGTAATCGGACAAATTGGAGGCAATCAAATTGGAGCGAAACAAAGTCACTCCTCTCGTTTGTCCTGGATTGATAGGTCCCATGAAGCGTGTCGCGTCGCGAATTTGATTGGACGAGAAAGGTTGATGAGGCCTGTGGCATGCTTGTTGTTCCTCTTGTGTGTGTGTGTGTGCTGCCTGTGTTATTGGGGTCGGTAATTGCCCACTTCACCCGGGTCATCAGCACAACTACGTGTATTCTTGTTGATCCATATGTCAAAGCTGTGATTCATGCCCATGAGGGCTATGCTTGGCACAAAGCTTCGGGCCATTTGAGCCGAGTTGTCTATCCTAGACCTGCACTGATTGCTTTAGAACGCCACTGACGAGGCCGCTTGGATTCATTCGCGTGCTTGCATTCGGGGAGTTTTCGTGACGACGACCGCCTCCTACCTCTTGGCAGCCAGCCATCGGTTTGATTTCTTTCGCCTCTTGCAGAATGCCCCTTGGCTTCGCCATGCTGAAATCTGGCAGGCAGCCCAAAGCTTGGAGTGAAAAAGAAGGGGCGCGGGCGAATGACGGAGGAGTCGTGCGTGGCTTGCGTTTCCTCAGGTACTCAGCAGGTAGTGCACCCTTCCAAAGACTCCACTCATGACCCTCTGATTTGGATGTGCACGCAGTTTTTTGCGTGGTATGGCTGTCAGAGGCTTACGGGGGCACTTGGAAGTTGTTCAGTGGCCTTAGTTTCCTTGGGTGGCTCACTGAACATGGTCAAGCCGACGACAAAGGCGCCAGGATCCAGGAGAGCCCTCAAATGGACGGTTTTCCTTTGGTGTCCCTTTCTGCCCAGCCGCAAAAGGGGTACTGTCGGCTGTTTGAAAGTAGGTCATCCCGTTTACTTGCCCACCGTAAAGTTGTGTTTTTTTCACAGACAGAGCCACGGATCGGCATTTCAGCTCAAACTTGCGCCGGGCCCGAAGCCCGGGGCCGGAGGGCCTCCGCGGCCAGAGGCTGGGTGAGGTTAGTCAAAGGCTTGAATCCATTTTGGACTCCTGGGCTGATGTCCCACAATTCAGCCAGCAACGGTTAAATTAAACCGCATAGGGGTTCATACCAGGCAGCCGTTGAGTTCAAGCCACAGCCCCAAAGCCCCCCTTGCCGGGCATGCAACTCGATAAGCAAGTTCCACGCGAATCGATCGCCACTGGATGGGAGGTTCATGAAATTTGGGATAATCCGAGGGATTGAGTGGATTTGTCCATGGTCCACAGCATGCCCTCACTGCCTGAGTTAGTGGACTTGTTCTTTTGGCTTGGCTTTGTGTGGGTTTTCAGGCATGAGCCCGGTCATGCGGATGGCTCTGTGTGGAAGCCCTAGGAAACTTGGGATAAGCCGACCGATTGAGTGGATTTGTCCACAGTATGCCCAGCTCTATGTCAGTAGCTCCATTTCCCTCGGCTTGATATTGTTTGGGAAGACGATTTGAATGGCAAGGTCTTGATTTTGTTTTGGCCAATGTCGATCAGACGTGAGTGCCAAGGTTCCTGTAAGCCGCGGATTGACCAACCTGCTGAACTACTGGGGGGCTTCCCCTCGCACAGTGAAGGTTCCCCCCGAAAGCCCCTGTTGACCAAGGGACCGGGGTTCTCAATTGGAGCTCTCGTTTTTTGGTAGACCTTAGTGGCAAACAAAGGGTTCAGATGTTCATTGGCCACTCGGTAACAGTCGTCACTGTTCTTGGATCATGTTTTTTGTTTTTGTGGGTTTGTTGATTTTTACTGGGGGGGCTCACTTCCTCAGTTCATGAACTTTAAACTTTTTGGGAAGACCATTTTAGTGGTACATATAAAGTTTGGACTTTTTTTGGGCCATCCACTCAGCAAGCGAGGGGGGGGCTGCAGAAACAAATACGATACCAAGAGCAACATAGAGTCGGTGGAAATTCATGCCGGCATCGCCTTGCGAACAAATCTTGGCCGCGCTTCGAGGCGAGGCTCACCATGCTGCCGGCGCAGCCCTCATTTCGACTGTGCTCAAGATGCCCATTTGGGTGTGGCTCAAAACTAGCCGGGAGGGCTACGCAGGTTTTGGTCCATGTTTCCACTTACCAGGGTTCCATTTTGGTACCAGCTTTTTGAGCCAAACCCGGGCAGATGAAGGTTGGTAAGGGAGAATCCCAACCATAAATAGCCGCGGATATCCGCCTTCTTAATTCCTTGCATGGTTCTGGGTAGACCATTTTGGTGCCGGCTTTTGATTGTGACTCATTTGAGATCTCGAAAGAACACACCCAAAAGTGGATGTCTCTTCGAGCAAAGGAGCAACCCCTCAAAAAGTTGAGGCACCCATTTGTTCCTCCATTCCGTTTGTTTGGGGGGTTGGGACCCACTCAAAATGATACTGGTTCGCTTTTCTCACCAAAGTCAGTGCGCAACTGGGAGATGTTTTGGAACCCTACCAAAGCCTGCGTAGCAGCTTTTTCGCCTGAAACAAGCTCAAAAAGGAGCAAAGCTCGCCACACAGACATGCTGGCTTTCTTTTTTAAGGCAGTTCGGAAAAGAATACACTTCACAAAAATAGCTCGCCCCCTATTTCCGAGCAGCGCATCCTTTTGGATGTTTCAAAGGTTGCATGAAACCACCCAGTGTCCTTCCTCCACGTGTGGTCCAAGAGACCAAGCCTGGTACCTACGTTTGGGTTTGGACAAGTCAGCATCTTTAACAGGGCTCCTTAAAAGATCTCCATTTTGCAACCATTTGAAGCATGTTGCTTTTTCAACACCAACATAAAGTTGGAAACCACCACTTGCAAGTTGCAATGTTCAGGTGTTTTTCATGCATCCGGATCCCTGTTTAAAGTAGAACCCGCAGGCTTCCTGCAAAAGCGCCATCCAGTCCTTCCGGAAAGCAAACTGATTGGGGCTATGGACTTGATACTGCGGCCCTGGGTTTGAACGATTTTTTCACAAGTTCAGACTTGTGGTGGCCAATCCGCTCAAGAAGGGAGCCTATGTTTTTTGAAGGGTTCTTTATTTGTCAATAATACTGTAAGTGGGCGTTTCGGGCCTTTTGGAATGGTTGGTGATGAAATGTGTGATTTTCTCTTCTATTGGAAAGACGGGTCGGGAATCCGTTGCCCTAGACCACCCTTCATTTTCTCAACTTCACCCTGGGTTGACGCTTTGCTGCAAGTTGGCTTGGAAGCTGAAACTGGGGTTCCGCCCTTCTGGTCGCTTGTTGTTTGTTTCCGCATGCAATGTGGAGGGCCGTAGTCCTTTTGGGTGCAATATCAACCGTTTCTCAATGCCTTCCTCCAGGTGGTGCTCTTAGCTGTGTCCCACTAAGGATTGCCGGATTAGGATGGCCTCTCCCGTTGTGAACAAAGTTTGGACGGCTCAACAGGTCTTGAAAGGCGCGGATGGGTTCCTAACGGTTTGGGTACGAGGCAAAGTCAAACTACCAGGAATTGGACCGCAGGTTTTCCTCTTTCCATTTACCAGGGCTTATACTCATTTTGGGTATCTATGTTTGACCCACACCCATTGATACCTCACGCCACCCCTCTTCAAACGTGCCGTGACTGAGTTGATCATCGGGCTGGCGCTGGTGCTCTTGTTGAATTCCTCATGGGTTGTGGCGCTGTGTCTCGTAGCGCCTCGCCTCTCCGGGGGTTGGGTGAGTTGGGTGCGCGGAGTCGTGCGCGTGTCTCTTTGCGTGTGCGTGTGTGTCTTTTCTGCGTGTGTGTGTGTGTGTTGTGTCTGTGTGTGTGTGTGTCTTTGTTTCTGTGTGTTTGTGTGTCTCTGTGTGTGTTTTTCTCATTGCGAATTAGCCTCAGTTGCTCAAAGCTGAGTGTTTTAAGGTTTGAGTGTTCCTGCTTTGGCTCATGTTTAGCCATGGCCTGAAAAGGTTAACCTTTTGTTTCTGGGCCCTTTGGCAACAAATGAGGGAAGGAGTCTAAAACAGGGAGGCAGGGGAAACACACAAGAGGTGCCTCTGAAGAAGAGGGTTTGTCGGGTTCCCTGTTACTCTGGCAGGAGTGTAGATTGGATCCGCAATTTTCCCAGAAAAAAGTCCGGTTGACCCGCCAGCCCCCAGCCCCCCACGGGAGCACAGTCGTAGCTTTTTGTTTTTTTGGTTTTGGGGGGGGCGTGGACCTGTGACAAAGCCCCTACCTGGGGTGCTGAAGGTACCTGGTGGCCAGTGACTTTTCGGGTTTGGACCATCTTAGTGGCAAACAAGTTGTCCGGCCTCCGACTACCGTCCAAATGTGATTTTCGGGACTACCCGAATATTTGGCCGTCGTCGGAGGGTGCTGGCGTATGTTGTTTTTTCGCCAATCTACTCAGGAAGTGAGCGTGTGGGCGTGTTACATGTAGGGAAACATCCTGGAAGCACGAAAGGGGAGCTGGCAGACCCACTTGGTGGCTCCCAGCCATCCGTTCCTTAGCCTTTTAACTGTTTAGGGTTTAGTGGGGGTTCCCGTTCCCACGAGAAGTCAAACTTTTAGCAGGGGATCTTAGAGCCCAGCTGTGCGTATATTTTCAGCATCATGTTAGTAAATGCCCACAAAAGTCATGTCGTACGGTCAAGCTGGGTAGCAGCAAAAGGAGCACCAAGCTTGGCGCTTTTTGGCAATGGCTTTTTGCCACTGGGTCTCGTCGGAGCCGAGCTACTGTTTTGAAGTTCGGAGCTTCCGGGCAGCGCTCGGCCGGAAAACCTCAGCTGCAAAAGTGACTGGGGCAACTTCGTCTCTAGGTCTCCCAGTAGTGCCCTTTTACCGTTTCTTTTTTGGGGGAGGGTTTCCCTACCAAAATAGACTAAAGAAAAAGGGTACCCTGATTCTAACCTCTCTACCGGAGGACCTGACTCCTCTTTAAAACCTCCGTTTTGGGCCCCTTCCGCA